AAGTAAGATCTCGAAACCGCTCCAAGGGAAGTCCTTTGGTGAGCACATCAGCTAATTGAAGTCCTGAAGGGACGTATTGTGTAGAAATAAGCACTATCCAATTTCTCTTTGATGAAGTGTCGGTCTATCTCTATATGTTTTGTTCTGTCGTGTTGGACTGGATTGTGAATAATAATAATGGCAGACTTATTATTGTGGAAAAGTCTCATAGGAGCTTCATACTTTATTTTCAAGTCATCTAGAATGATTTCATCCACAACAATTCACAAACTCCTTGCGTCATGGCTCTAAACTCTGCCTCTGCACTTTATCTGGCAACTACATTTTGTTTCTTGCTCTTCCATGTCACTAAATTTTCACCTAAGAACATACAATATTTAGAGGTAGATCTTCTGTCAACAATCGACCCTGCATAATCCGCACCAGTATAAACCTCCATAGACAACTGCTCACTTTTTTTGAGCAGTGGTCCTCTTCCTGGACTCATCTTTAGATACTGCAAGATTCTATCTACTGCATGTAAGTGCCTCTCTTGTGGGTCATGCATGAATTGACTGACAACATTAACCGGATAAGCTATATCAGACCGGTGTGAGATAGATAAATTAGCTTTCCCACAAGTCTCTGGTATTGAGCTTTATCAACCCTTGAGCTTTCCTCATCACTCTCAATCTTGTGATTTTGCTCTATAGAGACTCTAAGGTTTACAAACCAACTTGTCAGTCTCTTTGAGAAGGTCAAGGACATATTTTCTCTGAGAAATGAAAATGCCTTGTTTTGAGTATGCTACCTCCATACCTAAAAAGTATTTCAACTTTCCAAAATCCTTTATTTCAAACTGAGCTGCCAACTCCTTCCTCAAGTTCTTCTTCTCAAATTCACAATTACCTGATGTGATCATATCATCTACGTAGACTAACAAAAGAGTGAGTTTATCATTTTGAGCATGTTTTATAAAGAGAGTATGATCACCTTGGCTTTGTTTATAACTCAAGGACATCATAACATGAGTGAGCCTCCCAAACCAAGTCTGGAGTGATTTATTGAGCCCATATATAGCCTTCTTTAACCTCCAAACCTTATTACTTTCTGAAGTAGGGTAATATCCGGGTGAGATCTCCATATACACCTCTTCTTCCAAATCTCCATGCAAGAAAGCATTTTTCACATCAAAGTGTTGCAACTCCCAATCAAAGTGAGTTGCCAAAGAAAGAATGATTCTTACAGTGTTCATTTTTGCTACTGGAGCAAATGTCTCTTCATAATCAATTCCATAGGTCTGGGTGTATCCTTTTGCAACTAGCCTCGCCTCATATTTGTCGAGTGTATCGTTGAATTGGTATTTTACCGTATATATCCACCTGCAACCTAATGGCCTCTTGTCATTTGGCTTCTCAATAATCTCCCAAGTCTCATTTTTCTCTAGTGTGTGCATCTCTTCATTCATGGCTTGAATCCAATTCTTATCCTTTAATGCCTCTTGTACTTATGCAGGAACTCTAATAGAGTCAATAGCTAAAATAAAACTCTGATGCTGCACATAAAGCTTTTCAGTAGACATAAATTGGGATATAGGGTATTTGATACAAGACCTTTTTTCTTTTCTCAAAGCAATAGGTAGGTCATCAAGGTTTGGCTCACAAGAATTTCTAGTCTCAGGGTTAGGAACACTTACCTCAGGTTCAGGCGATTGGACTTTTGGGGCAGAACGGATTTACCTTTCCACCTTTTTCGCGGAACTGTAACTTGTATTTGTCAACATTATTATGCACCAGTATTGGTACATCACCACCATCCTCATTAGGCATCAAAGGCTCCTGTATTACAAGAATAATAGGAAGAACAAACAACTCAGGAGACGACTTTGGGTCCTGTATTAGAGGAATAACAGACAACTCATGAAACGGCTCTGGGTCTGGTATTAGAGGAATAACAGGAAGGACATACAACTCTGAAGACTCGGCTTCTTGATTATTCTCCCCCTGAAGCTGAGGACTGGGATAAAAAGACTCAGATTCCTGAAAAATAACATCCATGAATATATAGACACGACGACTAAGAGGATGATAACACTTGTACCTCTTCTTATCTGAAGCATACCCTATAAAGATATATTTAATATCCTGAGGATCTAACTTACCCAAGAACATGGACAAAGACGGAACAACCAAAGACGCGATTTTGAAGACTTGACATAATGGGCACGAGCGGAAAGAATCGAGTCAGGACCTACACAGGACTAACACCAGATGGCACCTTAGAAGATAACCTATTGATTAAATAAGCAGAGGTCAAAATAGCTTTCCCCCAATAAAAATTAGGAACATTCATTTGAGAGCATAATGCTCGGGCGATTTCAAGAAGATGACGATTTTTCCTTTCAGCAACCCCATTTTGTTGTGGAGTGTCAACACAATGTCAACTCATGAACAACACCATTAGTTTTTAGAAAATTGTAAAAAAATTTATTTATATACTCCTCACCATTGTCTGACTGTAACCTTTTAATAGGTTTTCTAAACTGTATTTTAACCATTTGAAAAAAGTTAACAAACAATTGACACACTTCATACTTATCTTTCATAAGAAAAACCCATGTAACCCGAGTACAGTCAACAATAAAAGTAACATACCATTTTGCACCAGAAATATTGGAAAGGGATGAAGACGCCTGTACATCAGAATGAACAAGATCAAAGGATTTGACACTCCTAGAATCACTACGGGAATAGGTTGCTCGATGGGATTTGGAAAACTGACACACATCACAATGAAAGGAATCAATAGACACTTTGGTAAATAGGTGAGATAATAGAGACTTGAGCATGCGAAAATGAGAATGTCCAAGACGCTTGTGTTGGAGTCGCATTTGAGTATTTGCCCATGACTCTGAACCAGCCTGATGACACTTGATTTTCTTATGAGGCAGATAATATAACATGTTCTGTTCCTCAGCAATTTCAATCGTCTTCCCTATGACAAGGTCCTGAAAAACACAATGAGAATAAAAAAAAATTACTACACAATTCAAGTCTTTAGTGAGTTTATGGATGGACAAAAGATTGTTAAAAAGCTTAGGGACATGAAGCACGTGATTTAGGTGGAGAGATGGGACGAATGTTACCAGATCTGAAAATCAGGGTTTGAGACCCATTTGCAACAGTAATATGGCATTCATTAGGTAAAGGTGAATAAGAAGAGAGATATGACATATATGAGACCATGTGATCAGTTGCACAATAATTCAGATATCTTTAGAACAAGAGGCATTACAAGTTAAGAAGCTAGAGTTCTTACCAGTCATGGTCAAAGAACTAGTGTTAGAGAACTTACTTAAGGAGTCCATAAAGAAAAACAAACTGTCTCGAGCCAAGAGAGCCGAGATCTACTGTTAGGAGAGGATCGAAGGACTGCCAATGAGAAACTCCAACAAAGATGACAATCAAACAATCAAGAGTTGCAAACAGCAAGAAACAGAGGTACAATAATGAAGGTTGTCCTGAAAACAACAATGAAGGTGAAACCGTTCAGATCTGCAACGACGGTTGAACAGTGCACGACGGTTACAAAGTCACTGAGATCATTATGGTTCCAAGAGAAAGGGAATCTTGACCAAGAAAAAAAGGCTGCAATAAGAACGACTAATGTTTTGAGCGAAAGCAAGGCCCCTAAAATCGGGTTCTCTGATACTATAAAGAAACAAACAATTTGTATTTCTTTGATATTGTAGTAAGTAATACATTAAAGGTATTTATAGAATACAGAAGACAAATCGCTTTAAATGCTAATTCTAAATATGGTAGAAGACAACTAATTACTAATTATTAATAACTAATTACTAATTATTATTTACAATGAATATTATGTTGAGTTGTATACTACAAAATCTATTGATTTTGTACTATACTTATCTATCTAATAACTTCCAATAACATCCATATATACCAAGACATGCCTTTAAATTCAGACACCACTGAGATAAGTTCAGGCTATTAGCTTTGATAGTCAACCACTTCCATGATGCCACCTTCACTTCTTCAAGCATTTTATCCAAATACACTTCGTTACTATGAAATAATTCTCCATTTCTTGCCTTCCAAATATTCTCGATACAAGCGAACCGGACTATTGTTACTTGTTGAGAAACTATTATGTCGTTGCTTATCAGCCCCATGAACTGATCAAAGTGCAATAAATGGTCATTATGGAAGACCGTAGAAGTACCAAACCAGTTGCAAACTTAATTCTAAATACCTGAAAAAATTATACACTAAAAAACGAATGACACACCAACACTTTTTCTTTATTAACATTGGGTCTGTTCTTTGTTAAGCCCTCTCTCCTAGCTAAGTTAAGTTTAGTGGGAATTCTGTCCTGAAATGCTTCAGACAATATTGACACTTTTGAAGGAATCGTTTTATGCCAAGCTCATAAATTGGATAGAAATTTGTAGGCTTCATTAACAGTATAGCTATTTGAATAAACTGCTAATTGATTGTTTTTATCTATCCTTTATCATTTCAATCTATCTCCTTTAATCCATTTTTCCACCCTACACAGTAATCAATGGAACGTCTAACTTCAATATTCAGAAATTAGCTGCGTAAGTTAACCGCTAAGTGCTCCACAAGAGTGGTTTTCAATTGGATCTACATCTACCTTTGTTAAGTCAAACACAACTCACAGATGATAAAGATATACAGCTCATTCACCGCGCAATGTTGGATAAAAGTAAAATTGAATACCTAATGTGATAATGTGTCCTAATTCTAAACATAAAACAATAAAGGACATGATCTAAAATCACAAAGAAACCTTAAGAATCTGCAATGATTGGTTTAAAGCATGGAAAAGTAATTCAAGTACCAACTGTATATACATGACATTAGGTGTCTCAATACAAGTCCTGAACAAGGCTAAAGAACTAAGAGCTCCACCTACTACTCTACATATGCTTCCACGTCACTACTATTAAAACCAACCTAGGACAGACTAGTTGTTTAATTTGAAGGAGAGGTAGATCCAGGCGTATTGGACCTTGAAAACGATCTAGAACTCGCCCTTACACTTGAGCTTCTTGATCGAGAATACTTATGTTTGGAATAACCACCACTCCTTCTAGAGCTTCTTGAATGACTCCTTCCTGATCTCTTCCTTGGCCTGGGGGAGACACTTCGAACAGGAGAGGCACTTCTTGAGTAGCTCCTCCTCCTTGACCTCCTTGGCTTGGGTGAAACGCTTCGGGAAACTGACCTGTATCGGTACCTTCTGTAGTAGCTATCATCATGTGAATCATATCTAGAGTCATAGGGAGAGTGTGATCGGTCACGCATGCTGACAGGAGACCTGCTGTAAGGAGAGCAAGACCGGGAATATGACCTGTGTCGATCATAACGATAGTATGACCTGTGTCGGCTAGAGTATGGCGAGTATGCCCTCCTTCGCGTGTATTCAGAAGAGTAGGATGTCCTTCGCCTGTATTCAGGAGAGTAGGATGTCCTTCGCCTATAGTCAGGAGAGTAAGAGCGACTTCTACTACGATTAGAAGGTGATCGACTGTAGCTTCTTCTATAAGGAGAATAGCTAGGAGAACGTCGAGGAGAGTAGCTTGGGGAACGACGCTGTCCTGTATTTATCAAAATGATAAGGACTTAAAAATAAGAATAATTGTGTGCAATCATAAATGAGATCACAAGAAAGAACAATGAAACACACCTCGAGTAGTCCTGAGACCTAGATATTTCCCAGGTGTCGGGGTTCGACCGCGTCGTCTTCTAGCCTGCAGAAAATGCAGACAACAGCATGAGGACAAGGCTAAGCACATGAATGTAAGCAACAATAACATCAAAATATCCTAATATTAAATATTTAGTCCAAAATATATATATATATATAAACCCTTTATCAGAGTAGGTCTTAATAGCATAAAAATGAAGGGAACGTGGAATAACAAGACATAAATGCATAAAAAATAAAAGAGGGAAATGTAGGGCATACAACCCCAACGATCTGATACTTGTTGATGTATTTGAATTGTTTGTTAATTGTGATTTGAGAGTTTGATGAAGGGCTGCTTCACACCCTAACCTGCTGCCACAGAAACTTCAAACGGAAAGAAGCATAAATCTTCCAAATTTCATAAAGAACTTAAAAAAGCAAATCACCCATAGATCATCAATGCAATGAAGTTGAACAAAAATCAAAACAATTGAGAATAAAAAGCCCCAAAATGAGACATTGATCATTTAATGTACCTTCTCCACCATGATAACACGCCCTTCAAGTACAGATCGATCTAGATACTTCACACAACGATCAGCTTCTTCAAGAGTATCCATTGTCACAAATCCAAAACCACGGGATTCCCTTGTCCATGGATCAACAACCAGATGAACATCTATCACCTACAAAAACAACTCAAAAGTAGAAACATATTTAAATTTTAAGGAATAACAAGCCACTTCAAAAGCAAAATGCTTCTCCAGCTCAACAACTAGACGGATATCTATCACCTACAAAAGTGTACTTCAAATGAATAGAAGACAACAAAGAACATACTTTTCCTTCAGCAGCAAAATGCTTCTCCAGTTCTCTCTTGGTGATCCTAGGAGACAGTCCTGTCACATACAAATTGTTCCCCGGATTTTCAGCATCTCGTGATACGCTCCTAAATCACCAGAAAAAAAACAAATTGGACATGAGTGTATAACATATGGTCAAATATGATAACATAGAAGCAATAGTCACATAAATATATCAAACCCTACCTCAAACGGCTTCTGGATCTGGACCTCGAGAGAGACCTGGACAAAGACCTACCGTAACGCCTGTAGGACAAGGGAGAGGGAGATGGCGAATACCTGTGGAACGAAAATAGAACGCATAAGCTAAATTGCAAAAATGCAAACCACTTGAATTCAAATAGTAAACTAAAGCACTCAGTAGAGAAAACCAACCTTGATCTTCTTGAGTAGGACGACTGCAACAAATCATCCAGGGCCAAAAAAATATATCAGTACTTTTACACTAAAAATATTAAGGTATCATCGTCATAAAATTATTTCCGATGCTATAGCAACAACAACAACAAAAAAAAGAATCTCAACTAGGGTTAAATATCAATACATGCATAGATATAGTTCAATTAGAGATAATAATGAATAAAAATGAGGTTGAGACAGGTACTTACCATTGTTGAAGGTGAACAGAGAGAACGGAGAGAATTTGAAATTTCTGAATATGGAGAATGATGAGAATGAACGCTAGTTGTTTGTTTTGGAATCAAGTGGCGTTGAGAGAAATAAGATGTGAGGCTGTGATTTGCCTGAGGAGAAGTTTCTGGAGAATCGGACGTTAAACGAGATTTCGACACGTAGGAATTCTTTATGGGCCGTGGGCCGTGCTTTTTTTACTCTTTCGTTTCAAGATGTAATCTGACACCCGCTCATATTATGTCTGGTATCCTCGATTTTTTTATTGCCAAAATGTTCCTGTTATTATTTATCTCAAAAAAATTATATTTGTCAAAAAAAATTTTTTTACTTAATTAAGGGATTAAAAATCAAATTTCCGGTAAGCATAACTAAATTTTCGGTATTGAACTTGTGCTTTTACCGAAAATTATTTGTATTTTCAAAATTTTCGATAGTGATTTATCGGAAATTACAAAATTTTCGGAACGATTTATCAGAAATTCTAAAATTTTCAGAGATAAACAAACAAAGTTAGAAAATTTAACAGAAATTTCTAGAATTTCTGGGACGAAATATAACACTGCAAATTTCAAATTTTCGGTGAAATTTCTGATATGTCTGTAGATAAAATTTTGTATATGTGTGGTCCAGAGTCGGCTACTTCTTCTACATATTCATGTACAGATTATACATAGTTCTTCACCATATATATCGTATGGTTCGTATTGAATTAATATAGTTTTATTTGTTTTTTGTCATTTATGAAATTGATAAAGTTTAATAATTATATGTTGTAATTGACACATTTTTAAGTCTCGGTCTGAAGTTATAGAAGGAGCAACATTTATTAGTAAATAACATGGTATTATTTTTATTGCTCTTTGTTTCGATTCTGCTAATGGAATACGAGGGAGGAAGGATAAATTAATTATGGATTGTGGGAGAGAAGGAAATTATAAAATAAAAAATGCATCTGAAAACACTAATTGAAGGTTAAATGTCTGATTAGGTTGAGATTTATTCCAAGTGGTATCAGTTGGAAGGTGATGGTTAGATGTGGAATGCACAATCATATACTAGATAAAGATTCGGAAGGCCAAGACATATTGGGTCGTCTAAAAGATCATGAAAGAAAGTTTGTGAATGACATTACAAAGTACAATATGACTCCAAGGTACATAGTTTCTGCTTTGAAAGACAAAGATCCAAAAAACCTCACGAGTATTACCCAAGTATATAAAGCTAGATCAACATATTGGATGGGCAAAAGAGGTTCAATGACAGAAATGCAAATGTTATTGAGCCTTATTCACAAAGATAAATATATGTGTTGGACTAGAAATAAGGACAACTTGGATATTGTAGCTGATATCTTTTGGACACATCCTGATTTTGTAAAATTGTTGAATATATATCATTTAGTGTTAATTTTTGATTGCACGTACAAGACAAATAGGTAAGAACTTTACTTTTCACATCCTAAAATATGTTATAGATGTTGAGTGAGTTGTTTGGTTATGTGCATTTTGATCGTGCAGTTATCGGATACCACTGCTTGAGATTGTTGGTGTTATGTCAATGAAGTTAACGTTTTCAGTTGCCTTTGCCTATTTGGAGCATGAACGGGAGGGGAACTTCACATGGGCACTAGAGAAGCTCAAAGAGTTATTCTCTTCTGAGAAATTGCTACCAAAGGTTATAGTGACGGATTGAGAACTTGCATTAATGAATGCCATGGAATCTATGTTTCTAAATGCAACTCATCTGTTGTGTTTGTTCCATATTTATAAAAAAAATATGAGCAGGAAATGTAAAGAGTGCGTGAAATAAAAAAGACAAGAACATATCATAGATCTATGGAACAAAAACATGTGTTCAAATATAGAACATGAGTTTGATGTACACTTCAACCACTTTGAAAGTGTTTGTGCTAATATTTCAGTACTTTGGATATTGTAGGCTAGAGAGTGTTGAAGAAAAAAGTTTGTGATCTTACATACTCATCCACAACTTCAATGTTCCAGCGCTGGTGAAGTACAAGCCAAATAGAGGAGTTAAGAAAAGTATAAATGTCAGGAGAGTGGTGTATATCATGCCCCTAGCTAATGGGAATATGATGAGGCTTCACATGTGAGTCAGACTACAAAGAGATCGTGCATAAAATCAACTGAAAGTCAATCGTCAAGTATGTCGATTGGTAGGCAATTAGGAATATGTTACGAGTAAAACACTTTGGAGTGAAGGGTATGAAAAAATGGATGACGATTCCGGATATGGGTTACCTGGTTGCTTCTAGATATAATGTTGTATTTGTTTCCCTTTCCATGAGACTTAACATCACATTTTTTTTCACTTATCATAGCTCCACTCATGTACACAAGTAGGCATATAATTGTTGTTGTTGGTTTTGTCAATGACAATTATTGGGTTTAGGTAAAATTGAAACCTGATTGCTCATTGCCTTCCATCATTGACCGTTGGAGACAAAATTATACTGATGATGCAAAAGCATGAGAATCAGCATATGCGGGTCGCTTTAGACAATGGAAAGATTTGTGTAGTTTATTTTTATGCATATATGTATGACAAGTATTTTATTTATATATTAATTTGGGTAGCTATTTTAATGTTTCAATTTTTCAAGAAAAAGTTATAGAAAAATGGAGAAAAAATAAAGATGCAGTATTATCGGAAATTTGAAATTTTCAGAATTTTTTAGCTCATACCGGATTGCGAAATTTCCAATATATTGTAAGCACTCACAGGAAATTTGAAATTTCTAGTACCGAAAATTCTAAAATTCAGGTATCCCCCATCCCAGGCACGGTAAAAACAGTAAATTTAATTAAATTTTTGGTACTCCTTTGAAATGTGCCAAAAATATGGGGTGTCGGGTATAAGTGTGGGGGTGGCAGGTTAAATCCTCTTTGGCTTTGGAGAATTTTTCACGAATTATTTGAGGATTTAACTTGTCACTCCGTAGAGAGGCTGAGGTACAGGCCCGACCTACGTCTAAACCGCACAACATCGTTCAACAAACGAGACCAATCGATAGTGCCCGACGTGGACACCTCCACCGAGCTCCACCGTCGTAGTACCTGTAGGGCAGAACACCCAGCTCGCGATGGGCAGTTCACGCCGCAGGAAAATAACCCCGATCCGGGTGATATACCCGAACGAGCGGCTCGCTCCGCACGCCTGAGAATCTCGAAGAAACTCCGGGCCATCTAAAAAAGGGTCGAAAACAAATCTCTCCTCTCGAGGTCATCACTCTGATAAATTTGGTCATCGAGTAGGGCCTGAACGAAAGACTTAGGCAAGTTTGCCAACAAAGTCACAGCCATACACGGGCACGACCCGGGCACATAACTCGGGCCAATTATGTCGCAAAATACATAGAATACATACACGGGCAACAGTCAAATGGAAACAAATTCATTCAATACGCCCGTAGGCAACAAAGCAAATAAATATAAACCGACCAAGAAGGCCGGCGATGTTCAGGAAGTACAACCAACGGGCACGCAGACCCAAAAAATACGAACGGGCACGCAGGCCCAAAACAAATATCAACAAGGCACGCAGGCCCATCATCATCTTACAATTCAGTTTCCCCGGAGCCATCATCACCGACAACAGGAGAGTCGGGCGGGGGCACGATCTTGCCATCCACGATCTGAGACATGTAGCCCGTCCCTTTAGTGTTCAAACCGGGATTCAGTAAGGAAAGCTGGCTGACCGCGGACTCGAACCCCTCCTCCATAGCGCCGACACAATCTGCTTCGAGGAGTCGGATACGGGCGACCAGCTCCGATCGACTCCTCAAAGCGGCTATATCCTCCAGCTCATCCTCGGCAGGAAGCATGGCGGCCTTCAGGTCCTCGATCTCTCTGGCGAGGCGCCCGATGTCGATTTCCAGACGCTCCGGATTCGCACAGAGAAGCTCTCTCCTCGGCTAGCTTCCCCGAGTTCTCCTTCTTCAGAGTCAGCATCTATATCTCGGCAGCCAGCAGAGCGGCTTGCTCGTGGAATATCTCCTCGGAGCGCTCCAGGGCAGCCTTTAACTTTCGCGAACTCGAGGTGAGGGCCGCTTTCTCCTATTCCAATTCTTTGATGCGGTCAGGATCCTCCCCTTCCTCGGACAGCACAACGGCAATTTCAGCCATCTTCACCAGCCCGGCCATATTGGCGGCCAGGTGCCTCCTCCGGTCCTCCTTGCTCATCCGCCTGATGGCCTCAGCCTCATCGGCAATCACGGACAAAGGGAACCCCTCGAAGAAACCCTCCTCTTTGAAGCAAGGGGGCAACCCGAAGGACCTTATGGCGCTGGAATCCTCGTCGACCGCCGGCCCACTTTCCACCCGGTTCCTTTTCCTTGGTATCAGGTCGATATGTGGCTCGACCTCCTGGACCTCCGGGGTCTTTTCCGAAGCAGCCCCCGAGCTAGGCGGCGAATCCACCCTTACTGCATGAGAAGCGCCCGGACTATGCGGCGGGCCCATCCTTGTTGCTTGAGGAGATTTCACCACCCTCTTGTTCGCCCTCCGGTCACAGGACAACTTCAAGAGCCTCTCATGTCGTCCGGCCATCGAACCTGCACAAAAAAAAAAACGGGTTAGTGCCGAGCAAATAAGAAAACAAATGACAAGCAAAGAAATTCAAACAATAAACGACCTAGCAGATGCGCAGCCTGACCGAACGACTGGCACTCCACGAGTGCCTTCGTATCAATCGGTCGGGCCTCGAAGGTCGGATAACCCTCCTCGTCCAGGACATCTTCCCCCTCCCTCGTGGCTCATATGGCGGGATGGAAGCTATCAACGTACTGACAAAGAGTGTCGTAAGCCTTCTCGTCCTCGGAACCCATGTCACCCGCAGACGTATGATAATACCCAGTACCGTGCTCATAATGCCTAGAGATCTAATGCACGGGAAACTTGGTCGTGCGTCCCAACACCGGATGCCCTTCGTTGTCTAAAAGTACCTCCCCGTCATCGTC